TGATATGGCATTAAGAGATTGTTTGCATCCAACTGATTCATTCTGCTACGTGTGTGGACAACTCATAAAGATAAAAGCGAAAAAGTATTCCATGGAAGCAAATTGTATAATGTGCGAGGCCAACAACCAAGACAAATCTTGGGCATTTCATATGCAAATATTGCAAGAAAACACTTGAAGGAAACTGAACAGTTGCTTCTCGTTTGAATGTGTTTTAATTTATTTTTCATAAAATTTCGTTGCTTTAGATCTAATTAATTTCAAGGAGTTGTAAAAGGAGTTTACAAAGTTTTATCATAAGTCGTGTACTGTAGGTAAATACCACACGTGGTATCTATAGCCTACTCATGTAGGCAATAGGTACCACACGCCTATTCATTGTCAGTTCATGGCCTCAAAGCCATGTTGCTTCACAATGGAAACAACTTCCGTCTCTTCCGATGGCCCACTCTGTGCATTTCAAAGAAGACTACACCAGTGTCAAAATGTTGTTGAGTACATTTAAATATAACGACTATGGATGAGAGGTCATTGATGATTTTATTCCTCATAGATCTTCAAGAAAGTTTTACAAAATTACCTTATTTTCTCTGTCTCTGGGACAGCCGTGACACTAAGGCGCATATACGTTGTGACAAGTCCTTTGTGCTATACACAAAGGACTGGCCACAACGGACCAAGTTTTCTGTTGGGTAGACCAATGTGATGTGGGAACCGCTGATAGAGTCTCATAAAGTGTTTATACCACCGTTAAACATTAAGTTAGGCCTCATGAAGCAATTTATCACTGCTCTTGACAAGGTGTCAGCTGCATTTCAATACCTAAAATTTTTTTTTTAAAGCTGTCTGAGGACTTTTTTAAAGCTGTCTGAGGCTAAGGTCAGGGCTGGTATATTCGTCGGATCACAGATCAAGAAGAGGGCTGGTATATTCGTCGGGTATATTCAAGGGTATATTCAAGGGCTATATTCAAGGGCTGGTATATTCAAGGGCTGGTATATTCGGGTATGTTCTTTCCGGGTATATTCAAGGGCTGGTATATTCGTCGGATCACAGATCAAGAAGATCATAGAATATGAGGATTTCGTAAAGCTGTTAAACGGGTTGGAGAGAGCGGTTTGGAGCAGTTTTGTTGCAGTTGTTCAGGGTTTTCTAGGTAATCACAAAGCTGAAAACTATTTGGAGTTGGTGCAGACTCTTATAGAGAGTTACGCAAAAATGAGATGCAAAATGACTATGAAAGAGTCATTCAGCATCCCATTTTGGGATGCTGATATCCTTGACCTTGATCACCAAATCCTTGATTCGCATCTTGACTAATTTAATGAGAACATAGGAGCTTAATCCGAGGAGCAAGGCAAGCGTCTTCATCAAGATATTTTCGACTTTGAATGTCGTTACTAAGCTCAGTATAAAGAAAACATGATAAGGGCATGTGGGGGCTATATTGAGAGAATGATTTACAGTGCAATCGTAAATCTAGAAAATTTAAATATTTATGAACCTTGTTGAGTGGTTTTCGACTGTGTTTGTCTACTTCTTGTGCAATATTTGTTTTTACCTGATCATAATGAAAAAAAGGATAAAAAAATTGTTCTATTTTCACAAAAAAAAACGTATTACCTTCGTGCTGTTGTCTGTAACAACAGCATCGTGCTGTTGCATAAGGCACACATGAATAAAAATAATTTTGATTTTTGGCACACATGGGCCATGGTGTGCCAAAAGTCAAAATTATTTTTATTCAATTTTTGTATAAAAAACTACTATTCAATGAACGTGACATATTGATTTACATGAAAACATAATGATTATCAATCAAAAAATGCGCCTTCACTAAAATTTTTTAATTTTATATTATCACCGTGAACAATACTTTATGCGGTCAAGCGCTTTTCTAAATAAGTTAAAAAAAATGTTTTTAATGTGTTGTCTTAATGTTAGGTAATTTATATTAGTACGAATTTGAATTGTAGTTTTAATACATACATAAGCTATAATTGGTATTTCTGTTTATCTTCTTGAACGTATTTGACTCATTTTATGATCAATCAAAGATAGTGTGTTTAATGGTTGGCCAGGGTTTTTATGGCTGATATTCACTAAAAAAAAAAATATTTAATGAGTTAAAAACAGTTTTGGTTGCAGATACAGATGTAGACTATGTAACAAAAACATTATACATGATTTTATACCGTGACAACTGTCAATAAAACATTTTTTTATATTACTATTTTTTTATTTTTTTTTTTAATTTATTTATTTCAGTGATCAAATACAAATATTACACTGGCCAACAAAAAAAAAATTTTTTTTTTGCTGCCGAGGATATTTTTACGAATTTATAGTATATCGGGTGTGCTGATTTCAGAAATGACATTAGTTTTCCACGATTGGCTCTAGTTCTTGAGATACAGGGTATTCCAGATATATTCTTATACAAATATCTTCGTTCATGCATATTTTACAGTAAAATAGTTTTATTTCTTTTTAAAGGGCATACCTTTATATATATATATATATTATATATATATATATATATATATATATATATATATATATATATATATATATATATATATATATATATATATATATATATATATATATATATATATATATATATATATATATACTTTTTCCTGTTTTTAGAACACAATGAGTTCTTCACGAAGAGGATGTTTGAATAACCCCAATGCATTCTGCCACATCTGTGGTGAATATTGCCAGGAGAGCCAAAGAAGAAATATTACTAACTTTGTGAAGCAAGGATATCTGGCATACTTTGGAATGAAACTCGGAGACCAAGATAAGTCTTGAGCTCCCCATATTGTATGTAAAACGTGTGTCGAAAATCTACGTCAGTGGAAAAATGGACAAAGAAAAGGTTTAAAATTTGGTGTGCCTATGGTATGGCGGGAGCAAAAGAATCACGACAGTGACTGTTATTTTTGTTTGGTTAATGTGAAAGGTATCAATCGTTTCAAGAAACGTAAATTTGAGTATCCGGATTTGGAATCAGCAAGGCGACCTGTACCACACTCAGACGATGTCCCCATTCCAGTGTTCACTACACTCCCAGATCTAACAGTGTCTGATGAAGAAGATATGCAGAATTTGGTGTGCGAACATGCAGATAGTGGTAGTGAATATGAAGACAGTACTTCTAAACAGCAACAGTTCTCCCAGGAAGAGATCAATGATTTAGTACGAGACTTAAGTCTATCCAAGCAAGATTCTGAGCTTTTAGCATCTAGACTAAGTGAAAAGAACAGTTTGAAGGCCGAATGTAAAATAACTTTTTTTTGGACAAGAGAGGCAGCACTTCTTCCATATTTCATTCAAGAAGAAAAAATAGTATACTGTAGGAACATCCCTGGACTCCTCTTCCAAATGGGGTTACCTGAATACCGACCAGAAGATTGGCGATTGTTTATAGATAGTTCGATGAGAAGTTTGAAGTGTGTTTTATTGCACAATAGCAATAGTTATGCATCCTTCCCAATACTTCACTCAACAAAACTGAAAGAGGAATATGAAAATATAAGAATGATGTTGCAGAAGCTTAGATACAATGAGCACCAGTGGTCTATATGTGTTGATTTAAAGATGGTAAACTTCTTACTAGGGCAGCAAAGTGGATATACTAAGTACCCTTGCTTCATATGTTTGTGGGATAGTAGGGCTAAAGAAGACCCCTGGAAAAAGGTGGTATGGCCTGCTTGGGAAAATATGACTGTAGGTGCATCAAATATCATTAACGAACCACTGGTAGACAGGGGAAAAATTACTTTCCCACCACTCCACATCAAACTAGGACTGATGAAGCAATTTGTAAGAGCCCTAGACAAAGATGGTCAATGTTTCAAATATAATTGCAGATTTTTTCCAGGCTTGAGTATGGAGAAAATCAAAGCTGGAATCTTTAGCGGCCCTCAAATTCGCCAAATCATCAATGATGAGCAGTTCCTATATACAATGACAGATATTGAAGCATCTGCCTGGAAAAGTTTTGTCTTGGTTGTTCATAACTTTTTGGGCAACCATAAATCTCCCAACTATGAAGAAATCGTACAGAAAATGCTTTCAGACTTCAAAACATTGAAAGCTAATATGAGCATAAAAGATCACTTTCTACATAGTCACTTAGATCGGTTTCCCGATAATCTAGGAAGTTATAGTGAGGAACAAGGGGAGAGGTTCCATCAAGATATCAAGGTAATGGAAGAAAGATACCAAGGAAAATTGGATACACACATGATGGCTGACTATTGTTGGAGCCTTCAACGTGATTGTCCACATTCTCCACACAAAAGACAATCATACAGACACCGATTTTTAATGCATTAATTGTGATTTCATTGTACTGATTTGAATGTTTTGATCTATTAGCATTGTATGTACTTCCCCATAAACAATTTGATATATATATCTAGTGTTTTTTTTGTGAATTACGCTACAACCTAACATTAATTGTTGCTATTAATGTACTTTCGTGACCACCCTGTATCTCAAAAACTAGAGCCAATCTAAGAAAACGGAGGTCATATTTGGAATCAGGGCAACAAGTTACCTATAAAATGACCCCCAAATGTTTTGCCGCAAAATCTTTGTTGGCCAGTGTTATACATTATTATATTATAAATACTATACATTATTGATTATACAAAAATCCTATATAAATAGGTTGCTTAGATATTGTTAGTAAAATAATTGCCAACTATATTTAACTTATATTAGATTATGCAAAATATATTAAATTATATATATATATATATATATATATATATATATATATATATATATATATATATATATATATATATATATATATATATATATATATATATATATATATATATATATATATATATATAATATATATATATATATATATATATATATATATATATATATATATATATATATATATATATATATATATATATATATATAAATAGGTTGACTTTTCTAATTTTAGAATAAATAATAATATAACAATGAAGTACCATTATATTTACAACTGCATTAGATCCAATATTATGTCTATACAAAATCCAACAATTTATGATCAATTAGTTGTCAAGTAAGACTTAAATGATTCTGAAATTATAAGAAACAAATTAATTTTTGAAGAACTTAAAGTTTTATTGGAATGATGTTAGCTGCAAAACTGCCTACTTTAAATTTTGATGAGTCTTCTTTGGGATTTAAGTATAGAAGTGTTGCTGAAATGAATCAATACTCACAGGGGCTACTCTAGACCATTTTTGACAGCGTCGACCGATTTTAAGCGCCACCCAAATTAAAATTCAAAGACCAATTTTTTTTTGTGGAGAAGTTCTAAATCATCATCTTCTTTGTACTGTCGGCCTTTGCAATTTAAATTTGTAGATAAAACTGAAGTCCTTCTTCGTAGTGAGGAACTGACATTAAAAAATGTGATCAAACAGCAGGCTAAAACAAGCTATGTCCTTCTTAATGGTAAATCTATTGATGTTCACTATAAAATTGAAATTACAATGATTGATGGCAAAACCCATACTCCATTATCAGATGTAACTGACTCGACACAGAACTGCTCTCTATGCGGTGTTAGTCCAATAGAAATGAATGATATTTACACGGTATATAGCAAATATTTTGTACACAGCTACAAGCATATGTATATATATAAGCATATATATATATATATATATATATATATATATATATATATATATATATATATATATATATATATATATATATATATACATGCATAAAATTATAGATGTGTCCCACTGCTCCCGCTGGAGAAGTGGGACACCCCTATCATTTTATTTTGCAGCAGCGCCTAATTACTGTTATTTCCCCTCCCTGCGCGTGGTGAAAACCCCTTTTTTCGAAAGTACCCCCAAAACGCACTTTTGCTGACAGCCTAATAACTCATTTATGTATTTATTTTCGACTGTTGTTGCACTTTTTTTCTAATTTATAGGGAAATGCACTTATCATCTAACATTAATTAATTATATTTTAGCTTTAACTGTGTGGCTGTAATTTTAGTTTTATTTTGTCTCCCTTACATAGTGGTGAAGCGGGACAGAGAAAAAAGTCGCTGTTCCGTATGTACTTAACAGTTTTGCGTTATTTTATTGCGGAAATTTCTAGAACATTTTAGCTATAATTTTTTATAGTTTTCAAAATAAAAATATTGGTACAATTAATTGAAATATTTAATTTTAGTTTTAGTTCTTGTACAGTTGATTTAAAACAAAATTTGAAAAGAGAGATTTTTATTAAAGATAAATTTGGTTTGATTCATCATTATTGTTTGGAGCAAATTGAGAGGACTTTTACGTCAATAATTTAAAAGCATTTGGAAAGCAAAAGACATGCAAAAGTTTCGAATAACAAAAGCAAAAGACATGCATAACATCGAATGAAACCTGAATTGGTCAGATATTGTTTGAAAAGGCTATATTTTTTCAGCAATAGGATCGTTGATGGATGGAATAGTTTACCAGCAGAATTCGTTCAATGTACTCCAGTTAAAAGCTTCAAATTAAACTAGCAATCGGTCAACTTAGAAGTAATAACAAAAAAGAGAAAAAACCAATAAAGCTTATTATTAACGTTTTATTATTTAATAACTGAATTAACTTGTTCATTAATTATTATTAAGTATTAACTATTATAACTATTATAACTAAAGCCAAAAAAAAACTAAAAAAAAAAAAAAGTCCTCGTTGGTCGACATTTGCTGACTGCCAACAATAATTCCAACTTTGCCGACTTCAGTATCTGAATAAAAAAATTCATAGGGGGTTAGACACCCCTACACTACCCTTTCGGAATTTAATATTATAGATCAAAATTAACGCAATGTAGTTTTCCAGTGAAAGTCAAACTGTAAAACTTTATAAATGTTTCAGTATGTTTTAACATTACTTAATTTGAAGTTTACGTACGTTAGATATTTGCATACACGTTCGTTCATATTTGTTATAAAACAAAGTGTTGCGATTCTTTCTTGCCACTACCTCGGTTGTAATGGCTGCCAAGGGTTCCGTTGTAGTATGAGATTATTACTCCCGCTTTTTTTTTACTCCCCAGTAAAAATCTCATTTTAAATTTTTACTCCCCAGTAAAAACCGCTTATCAAATTTTTACTCCCCAGTAAAAATCTTATATTAAATTTTTACTCCCACCATGAGATTTTTACTCCCATAAAAATATTATGCGGCAAAAAGTATTTTTGTAACAAAATCACTTTGTATTTTGAGAATAGTTTTCAACGTTTTAATTACTGCGGTTTCTTGAAAAGCAATAAGAAACGAATCTTTTTATGCAGTGGCTTTCATAATTCTAAAAATTTAACTATGCATACTGAATTTGTCGACGTTTATAATTTTTTAAAAAGATGCATATATCCAAAGACAGCTATTAGTAAAGGCGATAAGTCAAACTTTCGAAGAAAAATAAAACCATTTGTAATTGAAGATAATGAGCTGTATCATCTGGGTAAATCTGGCGTTAAGGTAAACAGTTTATATAATTAGAGTTTTTTTATACTAGCGTGGTTTGCGATAAATACATACATTTTTATGTATGTGTTTAAGTATCACGTTTTACATAATAACGTAATACATAATAATATCATGTTTTAATAATGTATCATGTAATAATAATACGTAATATATAATAATATCATGTTTTACATAATTAAATAATAAAAAGCTTATACTTTACTAGTATAATACTGCCGTGATAAGGAAAAACAGTAATTGTAAAAATATCCACTTTGCACTCTTTTAATAAATATATATACTACTGTGATCAAAAAGTAAGGTGAATTTCCTTATAAAATGAAAAATCTTTATTTATTCTTCCAAATCTGTATCGTCCCCCTCAAAATAATCCCCCCCGGCCCCAATGCACTTTTGCCAACGTTTTTTCCAGTCTTCGAAGCATGCCAAAAAGTCCTCGGTAGGGATAGCCTTCAATGCGCGTGCCGATTCACGTTGGATCTCTTCAATGGACTCAAAACGATTTCCCCGGAGTGGTCTCTTGAGCTTTGATAACAGCCAGAAGTCACACGGTGCTAAGTCGGGCGAATACGGTGGTTGTGGAGCAACATGGGTAGAGTTTTTGGCGAAAAACTCACGAAGAACCAGTGCTGTGTGCGAAGGCGCATTATCATGGTGCAAAATCCAAGATTTATTGGCCCATAATTCCGGTCTCTTTTTGCGAATAGCTTTACGCAAATGTCGCATAACGCTTAAATAATATTCCTTGTTGACAGTTTGGCCAGTTGGAAGGAATTCGTAGTGCACGACACCACAATAATCAAAGAAAACAGTCAACATGACCTTGATTTTTGAGCGACTTTGACGTGGTTGCTTCGGTCTCGGCTCGTCTTTTTCACGGTATTCACTCAATTGGTTGGTTGTTTCAGGGTCGTATGCGTAGACCCAAGTCTCATCGCTAGTAATAATTTGTTTGTAGACGTCTTGATAGTCAGAAAGCATTGCTTCACACGCTTTAACGCGACGCTCTTTTTCAAAGAAATTGAGAAATTTCGGCACCAAACGTGATTTGAGTCTTTTGAGGCCCAAATGATCCTTCAAAATCGCTTGCACCGACCCAAATGATATTCCAACCATGTCAACAAGGTCTCGAATGGTTAACCGACGATTTGCAAGCACCAATTCTTTGATTTTGTTGATGTGGCGATCATCAATCGAAGTCGATGGTCGTCCGGAGCGTTCCAAGTCATCAACGCGTTCTCGGCCTGCTTTGAAGTCTTTGTACCACTTGTAAACATTTTTTTGAGACATAGTCTCTTCACCGAAGGCCTTTTGCAACATTTGATACGTTTCAGCAGCAGAAATATCATTACGCAAACAAAATTTAATAGCACTTCTTTGCTCAACAAAATTAGACATAATGAAAATCGCCAAACGCACTTTTAATACTTCAGAAACAAGCGTAAACAAAAAAAAAAAAATTATGAACTTGACATGTAATTTGGCGCAAATGTTAATGACATTCATACCAACTTAAAAATAAAAAAGGTTGGATGATTCGAATAAGGCGGGAAGTTTAAATTAAAAATTCACCTTACTTTTTGATCACAGTAGTATATTTTATAACAGCATCTTTAATTTTGTTTTAGAGAAAAGTTATTTGGTGCAAAGAAGAGCAACACCATATAATTAAGTCTGTTCATGATGGTAATGATATTTCTAATGAGGCTAACGCATTATCTGGCCACATAGGCATCAATTCAACAACAGAGCATATTAAAAAGAGATTTTTTTGGTTTGGTATGATAAAAGACATTACAGCCTATGTTTCAGAATGTGATAATTGTCAAAAAGCAAAAAACAAGAAACTTCAAGTTAAACCATTGTTACAAAGCATATCGATTCCAAAAGGTAACATGAAACAGGTTGGGATTGATTTGACTCAACTCCCAGAAGTAAATGGATATAAGTATCTGATAGTACTAGTTGATTATTTCAGCAAATGGGTGAAAGCTGAACCTCTTTTTGATAAAATAGCAAAATCTGTTGCAATATTCCTGTATAAACAAATATGTAGACACGGGTGTTTTGAAATACAGATTAACGATCAAGGCCGTGAATTTGTAAATGAGCTTTCAAATGAGCTTCACAGAAAAACTGGGACTCGCCAACGCATGACGAGTGCATACCATCTACAAGCAAACGGTTTAGTAGAACGTCAAAATCAGTCAATAAAACAAACATTGGTAAAGGTGCTAGAAGATGCTGCTCTTGAATGACCATTTATTATTGACGGTGTTTTATTTTCAATGCGAATTAGAAAACACAAATCAACTGGATTTTCACCCTTTGAATTACTTAATCAAAGAGAACCTGTTCTGCCGATTGATATAGATCAGAACCTAATTGACTATAATGATAATGCTACTCTGATTGAAGACGATTCCCAAAACAAAAAAGCAATTTTGGAAACATTAAACAAAATGAATGAAATAAAGAAGTGTATTTTCGATGAAGCTTACGAAAACATCCAAAAGTCACAAGTAAGGCAAAAACGCGACTATGACAAAAGAGTTAACCCACAGAATAGTATTGCTATAGGAACAAAAGTTTTATTGCGAAATCATAAACGTGATGACAGAAAAGGTGGAAAGCTTGATAAACCATGGATAGGACCATACACGGTAACTAATATTTCAAGTACTAATAACTGTAGTTTAAAAAATGAAAGAAATGTAATATTGAAAAAAAAGTACAATCTAACAAGTTTGTCCTTGTACAAAGAAAAAACACTTAGTAATGGAAGCATTCAAATAGAAGAAGTTAACAAATTATCAAATGATAATGATATCAAAATTGAACCAGTTATCAAAGACGTTGAATCAAGCAAGTCAAATATAAATACTCAACATGAAAGCTGTGTAAATGTTTTAGACAAAGAAATAGCAAAGTGTGCAACTTTTGAAATGAGAAAACTAATTGCAGAAAAGTTTGAAATTGTTTGGAAACACAATGTCGCCGTAGGAAACATAAACCTAACTCTTTGTCCTCAGGGACTCCATAGAATTAAAGGAGATGGAAACTGCTTTTATAGAGCAGTTTCTTTTATCATAACAGGAAGTGAGGATGAGCATAAGCAAATTAGAGACAAGGTTGTTAACCATATGTGTAACCAAATACATGATGAAATGACTGGATATTTGAGCATGCCAATTCAAACGCATATTTGTAAAACTAGGATGCTTGAAGATGCGACATGGACAACTGATGCGGAGATAATTGGATGTGCTTCATTTATGGAAGTAGATATTCAAGTATACAGAAAATATGGAGAGAAAACAAAATGGATGATCTACCCATGCAGTTTACGGCTTAATAAGTTAAGTGACTATTCTATATTTTTAGACAATTCAACTGGGTTCCACTTTGATGTTGTGATTAATAGTTGAAAATCTAGTCCATATACATTTGTATTTCTTTTACGAGTTTTAAATAATGCTGTTTAATTTCAATTATTGTATTTTCTTTTCTTGTACTATGTAAGTTTATATATTAAAAACAGCAATTTGTTTGAAAACGGAAGTAATATAGTTAGGCTGTCTAAATAAAAAAAAGATTTTAATAAAATTACGTGGTGCAAATTTAAAATTGTTTTACATTACATATTGTCTTACAAATCGTTATCTGAAAATTGCCCCTCTGCTATTTTCAAACACAAAAAAATTTATTTCATTTTGCCATGGTGTTTGAATCTGCTGCTACACCTTTCAAAAATAAATTTGAAAATTTTCCACGTTCACGCTGGCGTGTACCACCAATGGTACACACTAGACTGTCTCATTGGGCGGCGTGTACCACTGGTGGTACACACTAGACTGTCTCATTGGGCGGCGTGTACCACCGGTTGTACACGCCGCCCAATGAGACAGTCTAGTGTGTACCACCAGTGGTACACGCTGCCCAATGAGACAGTCTAGTGTGTACCACCGGTGGTACACGCCGGCGTGAACGTGTTAACATTACCTTCATAAAAACACATTTAAAAAAATCTATAAAGTGAAGTCCTTTTCTAAAAACCTCCCCACCTCCCTTCTCTCATCCTTTTTATCTCAAACCCCTCCTCCAACCCTATTTGGACGACGTCTTCTATTGATGACCCCTTACTACATGATCTGGATCGGCTCTTGTTTTTTCATTTAAACACTACAATATTTTAAAATAATGTTCATATTAAACGGAATCGTTTTTTTATTGCTATTTAAAAAACAACTGTCTTTCAAACATTAAAAATAAAAATTCAAAATACAACAAAGTCGCAAAACACATTTTGCCGCTTAATATTATGGGAGTAAAAATCTCATAGTGGGAGTAAAAATTTAATATAAGATTTTTACTGGGGAGTAAAAATTTAATAAGCGGTTTTTACTGGGGAGTAAAAATTTAATATGAGATTTTTACTGGGGAGTAAAAGAAAAGCGGGAGTAATAATCTCATACTACACCGTGTCAAATACGCTCGAATGAGCACTACTACTAACACTATTAAGTTATGCAATAATATATAGAGATCTATATAATATAATATATATAAATAAATATATATAATAAAATGTATATATACAATATATATAAATTAATATTGTATTTAACATTATTTATATATATTATAAATTATTATTGTGACTTACATAAGACTTATTAATTTTATATATAATACATAAAGATAATAAGTCTTATTTAAGTCACAGTGGTGGATCCAGCATTTTTTAGTGTTTGAGATTTCTGACATAAAGCGAGGTTAGAATTGTTTTGTTATCTCCACAAATAAAAAAAAAATGAATTAGTTCAATTTTTTTTCATTTTTTGGATAAAATATTTATTTTTTACAAAAAAATCAGTAAAAAAAAAAAATAACTTACTATACGTGACATTACATTTTGTTCTATTTCCTTTTTCCTGTTTAAAAATTAAAATTATAATGTGCTATCTCCGTTTTATCCGTATTATTTTATTTATTTTATTCAGAAACTGTTCTGGCTGTTCTTGGTTATAATGATGATCATGATGCTCCTACGTTGAGGAAAACGAACGTCACCAAACTTGGATACAGAATGTGAAAAAGCAGCTAAGATAATCTGATCAGCCGTATAAAAATAGAAAGGAAGAAAATGTTTCCTGCAAATCTGTAACCAAACAAAAAGAACAATTAAATTCTTGTAAATTTAAATACGCACAAAATATCAGTGATGAAAAACGAACACGTATATTTGTTGATTTTTGGTTTGTGATATGTTGCCCAAAAATCAGAGTAATTTAACAAAAGTTTAAGACCAGGGAGATACAAGAGATTGATAATATTCACAGATAAAGCACTCGCTCCTGTTGAATCGCTCCTGTCGCTCCTGTTGAAATGTCTCTTTGGTTTAATCTGAGCAATTCTTGCTCTTCAAAAAAAAATATATTTTTTCTGTCTACCATATGAAGAAATTGAATTTCAAACATTTTTTAGCTATTGCAAGCTTTTTTAATTTTAAGCTTGTTTCCTATATCTAGATAAAGCATAGAGCATTCAGATCATGTATACTACAGAAAATCATGTTATAATGTTTCTTTAAAAGCATGAGTTAACAATCTACGATCTTAGTCATGGCAGAGGTACTAATGTTTTCTGCCTTGAATAAGGGTGTTCAAATTTCAAGTGATAAAGCCAATCATTGGCTTTATCATTTGAAATTTAAACACCCTTATTCAAGGCAGAAATATTAGTATCTCTGCTATTGGCCCATTGTCCTTCAAAATCAGTTCTAGTATATGCCTGATGTAAATATTGCATATTTATAAGAATATTTTAAGATAATTTATTGTATTGTCAAAATATATATGTTTTATATGTTACGTTGTTAAATGGTTTTTTTACTGAAATGTCATATTTTTAATGGCCTCACCAGAGGTGCTAGTTAACTAATTATTTTTTAAGATATCTTTCTATTGTGCAATGTATTTTAGATGTTATGCTTTTAGAACTTATAACTAAAGTTTTGTTTCGTTGTGAAGATCTTGGTACATACTTTAGATAATATATTACTTATTTTCTCTGTTGAATTGAATTTTAGACAAAATAGAGTGTTTATATTATTTTTTCACTAGTGTAAAATAAGATTTTTTTTCTAATAAAACAGATATGTACCTTACAGTACTTTAATTGCCAAAATATACAATCATAGTGCCACAATATATATATATATATATATATATATATATATATATATATATATATATATATATATATATATATATATATATATATATATATATATATATATATATATATATATATATATATATATATATATATATATATATATATATATATATATATATATATATATGTATATATATATATATACATATATATATATATATTATATATATATATATATATATATATATATATATATATATATATATATATAGTATATATGTATATATATATATATATATATATATATATATATATATATATATATATATATTTATATATATATAATACTAGTTTTTTATTTTTTACAGAAATTGGAGAACAAAATAACACTGCATTTTATAAAATAAGTGTGTTTTACATTGTTTTATTTCCAAATCAGGGAGTAGTAATTCAGACACATGCACTTTGAATATTTTAATACAATTTCTTTAAAACTGTGGTAGCCCATTTAGAAATTAATACAAATCGGTTTTGTTTAAGTTTTTTATGTTGTTTGGTATGCAGGTCCAATTAAAACTTTGAACTTGATTTTCTTGGTTCGGAAAAACATGGAGATAGAACAAAATAATTCTAACCTCGAAATAAAGCAAACTCCAAGCAATTTGCATGTTAGTGCTTATGTCAAATAATTGAATCTGTCATTTCGAAAAGGACACAAGTCCAAAACTTTTAACAGTTAGTTTATAAATTTAAATTAAAAATTTCTGTATGATTTATGTTTTTTTTATAAAAAATAAATGTTACATAAGTTATATACGTTCTTTATTTATCTACTTCTATGTTTAGTTTCTTTACCAGTGTAGACATTATTTTAATACAAATCATGTTTTTGTTGATTTTGAAAAGTTTTAATAAATGGATTTGTGCCCTTTTTGAAATGACAGGTTTAATTATGCTTTGCAAAAATTGCGATGATGGAAGACTGGGAACAATAAAACTCTAAAATTTCATTTCCCCCCCCCCCCCCCCCCCCCACATTATCCCAAATGTGAGGACAACAAGTTGACAAAATATTCTTAACGAGATTTATATTCATCGATAAATTTTATTTATCGATGAATATAAGTCTTTACACGATTTATCGTACTTAACCACTTTCTTTTAAGTACACATTTGAAATTCGCATTATTAGGAAGGCTTAAGTTTCTGATTTTTTTTTATGTTATTAGTGCAACCAAATGCACAACAACTTTTTGGCATTTAAAAAAAATTAACTTATCAAACTACTACTATTTTTTAGTTTATTTTTGTCCAATTCAAGATGGTTAATTTTGAAACAAAACTTTTATGCAGTAACGTCACGCTAACTGAATGGTTTGCTTTACTTACTCATTGTTCATACATGGCCTACTATATTCATATATAAATATAGTAGGCCATGGTTCACAATTATACAATTATACAATTAAAATTGCATAAATTATGCAATTTCTGCCTAAAGAACCACAGGCAAGAGTTACAATATCTTTTTGCTTCCAAAAACACGCAATCCGTTTAATTGGTTTTGTAGATACCAACCTTTCACCATATCCTACTTAGGAATTAAAGCATGGCCTACTTAAATTACATGTAACTTAAGTTATGTTACATGTAATTTAAGTAGGCCATGCTTTCACATACTAGAATATATATTTAGGAAAA